CCCCGCCCCGCCCCGCCCCGCCCCGCGCACGCCCTGCCCCGCAGGACCCAGCGGCACGGGGCGGGGCGGGCGCAGCCCCATCCCGCGGACCTGGTCACCTGAGGCGTCACGCACCTTGCGGCGGGGCGGAACGCGTCGGGCCCCCGGGCTCCGGCGGCTCCGGGCACTGAGGCCACCCGCAGGGGGCGCTGTGGTGCCGCCAGCCCGTTCCGGTCCCCCCCCCTCCCCCGCGTCCCCGCGGGCGTTAGGGTCCCAGCCCGGCCGCGGGCTCCCCCGCCACAGCAGCTCCGTGCAGCAGGCCAGGCCTGAGTTCTGAGCCGGCGCTCGGCCGGGCGGGGCAGCTCCGTCTGCTGCGGCCGGGGAGCCGTCGCCGGCTGCAGGTCACCCCCTTCACAGCTCAGTCTCCAAAGGTGGGAGGCCTCAGCTTCGGTTCTTTCTCCCCACAGCTTGCTTGATGCCCTCACAGCACGGCGGCTGGCTTCCTCAGAAAGACTGGCCCAAGAAGAAAAGGGAGCGGACCCAAGCCTCTTAGGACGCAGCCTCGGAAGTCACACGGGCCGCTTCTGCCTCGAGCCAGCCAGCACACGTGGTCAACACGTCGGCCCGGCTCAGAGAGGGGAGTGACCTGACGCTCCACCTGTTAAAGGGAAATTCATCGCGGAATTAGTGAGCATTTAAAACATCACCACACCTCACTCCTATCCCGGGACTTGGAATCAGGACCAGGACTAGGGTGGGACCAGCCTGGGGCCCAGGACACAACACTCCAGGAGGCCCTGGGTTTCGGGTCTCGCACATCGAAATAAATTGTTTTGGATACTGGTGTTTCCCCAAAATTTACTCAATTCTTTTATTGGTGCTAGAAATGCTTTTGTTACTGTTGTTTTTTGTTTGTTTGTTTGTTTTTTGGTACCAGGGATCGAACTCTGGTCTTTGCGCCTGCGAGGCACGTGGCAGGCAGTGGAACCACTGAGCTAAATCCCCGGCCCTACTGTTTTATATTTTATAAAATTCCATCAAATTACGTAGATAATCGTGCCACCTGGGAGTAAAAATAGTTTTAACTGTCCCTTTTCATGGCAAGTGCTATTCTTTCTTCCTTCCTTGCCGACAACAGTGCAATGGGAGACGGGACAGCTGGATATTCGGGTGTGAGAGGATGGATTTGCAACCTCACAATGTGCACAGAAATTAACTCAAAATGGATCATAGACCTAAACAGGAGAGCAAAGACTATATCTTAGATGAAATAATAAGAATAAATCATCATTACCTTTGGCTAGCCAATGATTTCCTAGATAAAGTGCCAAGGAATCAGCCCACGTCCCAGCAGCGATCCACTGGACACACACACACACACCCGCCCCCACTCCTCTGTACAGCCACCTGGTTCCACACTACAAAGACACAGAGGACACCAGACCACCAGACCACGGTACTGGGTCCCGCCGCTCCCAGCCCACACACACACACACACACACACACACACACACACAC